GTGGTAGCGCGTGCCTGTAGTTCCAGCTCCTTGGAAGGCTGAGGCGGAAGGCTCGCTGGAGCCCAGCAGGTCAAGGCTGCGGCGGCCAGGAGCGGCCACTGCACTCCAGTCTGGGCGACAGAGTGAGACTCCAACTCAAAAAAAAAAGAAAAGAAAAAGCACTCACATGAACTATATAAAACTTAAGAACTTCTGTTTATCAAAAAATAAACAAAACTCACGCCTGTAATCCCAGCACTTTGGGAGTCCAAGGCGAGAGAATTGCCTGAGCCCAGGGTTCGAGACCAGCCTCGGCAACTTGGTGAGACCTCATCTCTACAATAAATAAATAAATAAATTAGCCAGGCATGGTGGCACGAGCCTATGGTTCCAGCTACTTGGAAGGCTGAGGTAGAAGAATTGCCTGAGCCTAGCAGGTTGAGGCTGTGGTGGTCGTGAGCATACCACTGCCCTCCAGCGTGGACAACAGTGAGATTCTGACTCAAAAGAAAAAAGAGTAAGACTTGCTTGAGACCAGGAGTTTGAGACCAACCAGGGAAACAGAGAAAGATCTCATCTCTAAAAAATTTTAAGTAAAAAAAAAAAAAAAAAAAAGAGTGAGACTCTATCAGAATCTCTGATTAATAAAAATATTGAAGCCAGGCTCAGTGGCTCAGCCTGTAATCCCAGCACTTGGGAGGCTGAGGAGAGAGGATTGCCTGAGCTCAGGGGTTCAAGACCAGCCTGGGCAACTTGGCAAGACCTCATCTCTACATTAAATCCAAAAATTATCCGGTTGTGGTAGCATGCGCCTGTAGTTCCAGCTACTTGGAAGGTTGAAAGAGAAGGATTGTCTGAGTCCAGTAGGTCGAGGCTGCAGTGGCTGGGAGCGGTCACTGCACTCCAGTCTGGGCGACAGTGAGACTCCAACTCAAAAAAAAAAAATAAGGGTGGGTGATCAGCAAAGGTTTCAGAGCAAGAGTCTTGGTTACAACATCACTAGGTCTTCCTGATTCTATCAGTCAAGTAACTATGGTAACAACTATGGAATACATCCCTTCCTCTGCCCCTCTACTGCCAGCTTACCAGCTTTTGCCCAGATCACTGCAGCAGCCTCCTCGGTGGTTTCAAGAACTTCAGCTTTTCCCTTCTCTACCCCTTTTTTCACACTGTTGCCAGAATGATTTTTCTGAAATGCAAGTCAGGCTCCAATCTCTCTCCACTTCTCCAATCTAACTTCTAGGACACACACAGTCGGGCGCTCACGCACACACATGCACACTCTCCATGAGTTCACCCAACTACTTGTGTGAAATATTGCACTTTCTCCCACCTCTCGTCCTTTCATATGTAGCTCACTTCACCCAAATATGATTTTTCTATCATTTTCTGGTTACTGCTCATCCAGCACAGTCATCCATGCAAAGTTTTTTTTTTTTTTTAAGTTGGAGTCACTCTGTCGCCCAGACTGGAGTGCAGTGGCCGCTCCCGGCCACTGCAGCCTCAACCTGCTGAGCTCCGGCGATCCTTCTACCTCAGCCTTCCAAGTAGCCGGAATTTCAGGGGGACGCTACCACGCCCGGCTGATTTTTTGATTTATTGTAGAGATGAGGTTTCACTGCCCAGGTGGGTCTCGAACCCGCGGACTCAGGCAATCCACTCACCTCAGCCTCCCAAAGGCGCAGGATGACAGGCTGAGCCACCGAGCCTGGCCAAAGTTTTTCTTTAACTTCCCCCTTCCCCGTCTCAGTCTTAAGGTGCCTTTACCATGTACTCCATAGCTCTTGGTACTTACTTATTTTTGTCACACTGTATTGTGGCTGTTAATTTGTTTGTTTCCTCCCCTCACTAGTCTGTGGGCTCCTTGAGGATAGAAACTTCATTTTATCTTTATTTTTGTTTTGTTTTGTTTTGAAATGGAGTCTCATTCCGTTGCCCAAGCTGGAGTGCAGTGGCACATTCAAGGCCACTGCAGCCCCCACCTGCTGGGCTCAGGCAATCCTTCCACCTCAGTCTTCCAAGTAACTGGAACTACAGGCCCTGCTTATTTTTTTATTTATTGTAGAGATGAGGTTTCACCAAGTTGCCCAGGCTGATCTTGAACCTGTAGGCTCAGGCAATCCTCTCACCTCGGCCTCCCAAAGTGCTGGGATTACAGGCTTGAGCCACTGTACCCGGCCTCATTTTATCTTTAATTATTTTTTTTTTTTGAGTTGGAGTCACTCTGAGGTCCAGACTGAAGTGCAGTGGCCTCCTGGCCACTGCAGCCTTGACCTGCTGGGCTCCGGCGATCCTTCCACCTCAGCCTTCCAAGTAGCCGAAATTACAGGCATGCGCTACCATGTCCAGCTGATTTTTTAAAAATTTATTGTAGAGATGAGGTCTCGCTGCCCAGGCGGGTCTCGAACCTGCAGGCTCGGGCAGTCCACTCACCTCAGCCTCCCAAAGGCGCGGGATGACAGGCTGAGCCACCGAGCAGCCCGGCCTCATTTTATCTTTATATTCCTAGGCCTGGTTCAATATCTGACATATAATAAATGTATGTTTTGAGTACTTACTATAAGTACTATAATGCTAAGCGTCACTTGAATGCTAAATGCCACTTTAATCCTCACAACCACTTTGCTTCTCAAATATGCACAAATGTTTCCCACTGACATTCTTTTATTCAGTGTAGCTGATCATTTACGTCATAAGAGTCATAAGTCAAAAATAATATTTTTCTCCTTATCTGAAACCCCAAAATACAAGACTATAAAGTTTTTGTATTCATTTACAATGTATTCTGCCTACACAACTTTTTTTTTTTTTGAGTTGGAGTCTCTCTCTGTTGCCCAGACTGGAGTGCAGTGGCTGCT